TCACAAAGAGAACACAAAAACAAATTTTCATTCAATAATTCAATAGGTCATACATGATACAGGGGGTCATATAAATAGGCTCCAAATGAAAGTAAATGCAAAAGTCTAAAATGCCCCTGGGGCTATAAGATCAAACTAATACCCACAAGGGTAAAATAGGAAAAACTGGAAAAACAATAAGTAGTGTAAGAACTGCAAATACAACAAGTCATCAGTAGTAAAGACTATCCATCATAGCCGTTGATCTCCGGTGTCGCCTCTGATAGACGCGCCAGAATCTCCTGTCGATGCCCCCATCACCAGGTCTTTTTGATGGCGGATAGCAAGGCTTCGTAGTACGGTCTCTTCCCAATAGAATAACCAAGTAAAGAGAGGGATCATTCAGGGGCTCCAGCAACAAACTGGTCATTGGTGAACTGGGCTGTAAAATTTTGGGTGGGGATGAAGGATAGGGAATGGGAAAACTCGGTGGATACTTGCGGAGTATAGGCAAGTAAATTCTTCCAATACAAGGGAGAAGCCGATGAGGAAGAGGGGGGAGGGTAGAGAGTGGAGGAAAGCGGGGGAAAATCACCGTCAGCCATGGGGACGAGGCCCCCAGGGGGTGGCGGGAGTGGACAGAGCTATGGCGCCAAAAAACCCTAGCAAAGCGAGAACGGGGGCTTTTCACTGATGAGTGGGTATTTTTATGTCAATGGAGTATTGGATCGAGAGCTTTTATATTAAAAAAAAAAAAAACTAACTATACTTAATCACAATTATTAACTCACGAAAAGAAAAAAAGAAACAGAGTGAGCTTTGACATCCTAAGCAGATAAAAAACAGGGCACGAGTTCTTTGTGACTGCAGTGGTTCTGTTACGTATTGCTCCCTTGCCTCCCGGTCTCCCTTCCGCAGTGCCGGTCAAGCTGCAGCGCTGGCCTCTCCCAAAGCAAAAACTAGGATTGACTAAAAGAGTAAAAAAAGCAAAAAAGAAAAAAGAGAGCTCAAACAGATCTCTACTGTAACTTTGATATGGCATCTCTCTCGCTCTCTCTCTCTCTCTCTCTCTCTCTCTCTCTCATTCAATCTCTGTAAAAACCAAGCATGGAAATCTCCAAAATCTCCTCTTTCTACGGGAAATTAAACACAGCATCGCGTTAAAAACAGCTCTTGCAACAAACTTTGCTTTTTGTCAGTCCCAATATGGCACTCCGCTGCGTTTCTGCAGCAGCGCTGTAGCCCACAAGGACAGCCATTATTAGCTCAAAAAGGGGATAACCACACAACGGTAGGAAAAAGTAAGCAGTTCAAGTTAAGAGTGCCAACAAAGAGAGATTGGATTGGAGTTCTTGCATAAATTTTCAATTAGCAAGAAAAAGCTAGGAAAAAGTAAAAATCTATTCATATAAAAAAAAATGTGTAAAATCCACTAATTGTAATCATCAACTTCATCCTCATCACTTAATCATAATATATGATTATCAAAATGTACATGTGGTTTTATTCAAATTGCCAATTCCCCCAACAAACAAATGAAAATTCCTACTTTTTTCCTGTTTAAGCAGCAAAAAAACTCATTATAACCCTTTCCCCATCATGATTGGCTACCCATGAAGAAAAAAATGAGGAAGAAAAAAAATAGAAAACCCAATCCCCACTAACTTGACAACATATACAAGGTTAAAAAATTCAGCCTCCACCGAGTGAAACAAATGATTCCAGCTTCATTTGGGATGACTTTCTTCCTGCTTCTTAAAACAACTTTTCAGAATTTTTTTTACTAAAAAGCTGATTTAAGAAGAGCAGAAAGAAAGCCGTCCCAAACTAAGCCTCCATTTAAATTACTGCGCCACATCCAAGGTTATCAACATGCCAGTAAAAAGGAGCAATGGATGGATGCAGCCACGGTTCTCATCATTTCTTTCCTTTGGTTGAGCTGACTGATCCTCTGTTTGCTGATATCAACTCGGCTCCACCACCAACTTCAAAATGATTTCACTTGCAATATCTATTTCATTTTCTTTGAATCAATCATCTTCCACAAAGACTCTGCTGATGAAATCACGAAATCTCCTAGAATAAAGCTTTGGGTCCACGGCTGAGATGGAGTTTGGATCAACTTGCAATGACTTGTATGCGTGCTCGATTTTCTTGCTGATATCATAGTCTTGAAGGATGTCAATTATTCCAAAATAGAGGACCACTTGATAGATTTTGGCACTTCCATGGTCTTTCTGATGATGCACGGCCATTGCAGGCAAGTTCGCGCCTAACTGAATCATTGGCTCTCTGTAAAGAAAATTTGATTTATTGAGTGACAAAAAAAGATCAAACTGTAAAAATCAATGCTTCTTCTGCCAACAAATGCTTCGTTTGGGACGGCTTTATTATTGCTTCTTAAAGCAACTTTCTAGTATAATAAATTTAATTTTTTAACTAAACAGCTGCTTTAAGAAGCAGTAAGACAGCCATCCCAAACGAAGCCAAAGTCAATATATTTTCAACAGTCATGTAACGTGTGATATAAAAGAGGCACACAGCTCAGCTTGGCCTGTTGGTTGAGAGCTTAAGCTTCCAACTAAGAGGTCTTGAGTTCGAGTTTTTATGTATGCATTGTGTGTGAATTTGTCATTAAATGGCCTAAATGTCCAAAAATAAATAAATAAATAAAAGAGGCAAGTGACATGAAATGATTTTAAATTATATTTTGACTTGAATGGGTAGAGCATTTCTCTTGGGCAAAAGAAGCTATTGGTTCAATGATAATAAATATGAGATAATTTAAGAAACCAAGCTTTCATAAGTAAGCATAAAGTACAGTTACAGACTAATGACACAATGTAGTAAGCTAAGTGCACAGCCAGCGAGTGGCGCAACGATGACTATAAATTATTAATATTAAAGATGTGCAGTTTATGGTGAGAAAAGCAAGAACGTCACCCATTGCAGAAAAATATTACAAAGTATTCATACCTGAAGTCAAATAATATTTTCATAGAAAAAATAAACAGAATTCTTTATTAGCACTTTTTGCTGTTTTGATAAAAAAATAAAATAGATCTCAAATTGCAGTGAATAAACAAATATGAGGTACCAAAAAGGGCATCTTTTAAGAGAAAATAACAAATCGAGAGCATTAAAAAAAAACAGCTTGTCATTGGTTGGACAAGGACTAAGAAAATTTCTGAGCTAGTTTTTCCTTCCAAGAAATTTTTTGGCAATATCTAAATGGACCCAGGGCCAATATTTGTCGCCTACTAACATATTTTATGACGGATAAAGATGAATTGTTTTTGCACAACATTTGGAGGATGCACAGTAAGGCATGGCGTTCATATCAATTTGATTAGAAGACAATAAAAATGGGCAAACTAAAGTCATCAAATTAATGTGTAGCTTCCTCTAGTATTCCATTTTCTGATCTCCTACGAAAGAAATGGCAAAAAAATAAACAATTTAAGAGAGAGGTTACAACATACCGGTCATCAACTCTAGCTGTATCTCGCCACCATGAATCTGCGAAGGAAAACTCAGTAAAGTACTCCTGACCCGGGTCGGATTCATTCGTAACACATACCTCTATTCAAGAATTAACTCATAGATTAAATTGAGAAGAGCCAAAACGGCTATATATGTAAGTAGAGGAAACCTTTCCAGGTCATCAGCTTACTTTGATAAGGAACAGATGTACCCATCCTAGAATTAAATACATCATCTCTGAAATGAAGTCCCACCAAAAGGCTGTAATCCATGATGCCCTCTGCTACGAGAAACTCACAATCTTGCTCAATTTGCCTAGAGATACAAATCATTAGATCAACAAAAACTAAGCCATAGAATTTGAAACCCAAATTCAAAGGCTTATTATATTATACCAGATAAGTTTCTTGAGCCAAGGCTTTTGAATGTGAAATACGAAGTTAAGATCCAAGTCCTTTAGTGTGGTGGTCTCATCTATCTCTCCTTCAGCTTTGTGAATAGTTCGGCCATAAGATGAGCCTTTCAAGTCAAACCGTCTGTGAATTCTGTACTCTGAGCAGAACAGGTTGCCCATCACAATGAAACGAACCTGAATATAAGGCATTTCAATTACTGTAAGAACATTAAAAATAATTGAGTGATCGAATGAAGTGCAACAAAGACAAAAAACGAAATGTGTGGAGAGTATTTCTCTGCACCTTCTGGCAGCCAATTGATTTCACACAATGCACGCCATAGAACTTTGTGAGTAGTGAGTTCTTATACTTGGAAACATGTTGGTAATAACTTGATAGCATCCTTATCAGAACCTGCACAAGAACAATACTAAGTTGGGAAACGAAAAAGAAAATTTGGTATCAACATTCAACCAAAGAGATAAAATAAATAATTCAAGAAACAAAATGCTAATAAGACTGAATTTCTACAACATCAAATACTGGCAAAACTACATTCAACACAGCTCTTAACGATGCTATTTCATAATCACTTGGATGAACATCCTTAGGAAAGACTCATAGTTTCAACCTCAGACATCACTAACAAATATAATTCATTACTATTATATAAAAAACCGCAATAAAGAAATAAACTAAACAAATAGATTCTCAGGTGAATTTTAAATGCTGATCAATGGACCACGATATACCCTAAGAAAAAATTTTCCTAACCGCCAAAACTCACTCTCCACAACGCGCAACGAACAGACGCATCAGAATCACATGCACGGATAATCACTCAACAAAAAGAAGATATTTTGAAGGATATCTTCGCATTTAAATTTAAAGAAAATGTTAAAACAAAAATTGATGCAGAGCAATATTCCCAAAATCTACGAAAAACTTTATGTGTTGATGTCTAACCTTTACTTCGCACTTCTTCACTGTTTTAATGATGAAGCGGTCGTCCTGGGTATGGTAGAACAAGCTCCCACTTTTGCCAGGTGAAGATAGCTCTCTCAAAGCTTCATTCCCGCAAATAGCCATCATGTAATCCGCTGGATCTACCGCAAACAATTTCCTCAGATGTCTGCAAGCAAATACACAAACAAATTGTTCCACATAAACATAATAAAACTACATCATCAAACATATTTATCAGAAAGTAAAAACAAAGATAATAAATCAAATACAGATGAAACGAAGAGGAAAACAAGACTCGGCACCTGAAAACGAGAGGACAGTAGTCCTTCCACTTGAATTCTACAGATTGGTGCGGTGGTGTCATCTTTGATCCCTCAGGAGGAAATCTCGTCCAAAACTTCTCCTTTGGATCAAAATCACTAGGTTTGAGCTCCCTAGGCTGCGTAGATGATGGTTTACCAACGGAGTATCTGCATCTTAAAATAAATTAGCACCAATAAAGGATAGAGGGAAAATAGTTGAAATAATCTCTCAAACTCAGTACCTGATGCCCAATTGTAGGTTAAGCATCAGATCGTAGTTCCTATGCCCCTTAGATATTGTCTGCCCCGGCTTCTTCATCTGAACTGCTTTATATAAGCAAGGATTCCGGCTTCGCATCTGTCCCAAGGCTTGCCCTCCATAAACAAACTCGAAGCCATCCTTGTAAAGCATGGAGGACTTGAATGGGTCAATAATTTCGCATGTGATATCTCCATCGTCATTATCCGACTCCCAAATGCATATCCTAGGTAAGTTCTTCTCAGCTACGCTGCCTCTCGAAAGAGCACTATCTGTAGATGGTCGCTTCCTTGAAGCCAGAAAAGGATGCAAGCTATCTCCAAAAGAAGAGAAGGAGCATCTACTACCCACGACGGCCGCAGGATAGAATTTGGAATCGAGCTTAGGATCCTTATTCCAGCTGCCAACACAACAGCTCCCGTCCGGCTTGGTAAAGACACCACTCCCTTTGGGGACGCCGCTCTCCCAGTGGCCTTCATACCGGCTTCCATTAGCCCATATGAGCACGCCTCGGCCTGAGATAACGCCGCTGCGCCACTCGCCGATGAACTGATTGCCGTTGCGCCACACGTAGCGGCCATGACCATCTTGGATGTTACGCCGCCACTGTCCCTCATAGAAATCCCCATTAGCGTAGGATTTGCTCCCGCTTCCGTGCTTCCGATCGGCAATCCACGATCCACAATAGGTGTCTCCATCAGCGCCGACGAAGATTCCGAAACCCTCCATCCTCCCGCCCTTAAACTCACCCTCAAAGGTCGCGCCCGATGGCCACGAGAACTTCCCCTTTCCGGTGGCTTTCCCTCTTCGCCATTCGCCCTCGTACATACATCCGTCGGCCCAAAGATACTTCCCGCGGCCATGCGGCACGTTCCCGGTAAATTCTCCGAAGTATATATCACCGTTTTGGAGGATCTTTTCCACCTCCACTACTACACCGCCCGCAGCGATCCCAATCGCCGGAGTTTCTCTCCACCCACGGCGGCATCCGCCAACCGCCGATCTGTATTTCAGTGCACAGGCTGGCTTCACCGATTCCTCCGCATCATTGTCCGGCAAACCACCTGCGGCGTCCCCTTCGCCATGAAACCGGTCCGTGCCCGCAGTGCCCTCGTCGGCGATCCTCTGATGTCGCATTCTGTACAAATCCGGCGTCAGCCGCCGCGGATCAGCACTCGCATTCCACCGTATCTGCCTCGCCACAGGTTTCTGCAGTCTTCACATAGCAGCCGTCCCTCCTGAGCCTCCAGCAGCGAGAGAAAGAAGAAGAGCAAGGTATACAGAGTAACCTCTTTAAAAAACAATAAATAAAGAGAGAGAATAAAAAGGCAAAGCTGAGAGAGAGAGAGGAAGCTTGGCCTTTGCTTTGGAGCCACGTGGCCTAGGAAACGTTGCAGGAGATGAAGAGAGGGTCGTAGTAGCATAGCTATTCACTTGCGAAATGACGAAAATACCCTTTGAATTCTCTCAAATGCCCTTCCTTGCCGCCGCCAATTGTCCCTCCCAGGGTCCCGCTGTCGACGACGGCGACAACACCTATGCGGGCTCGCAACAGCTGCTTCTTTCTGTTATGTTTCGCACGCATTGACGGAATTGCTCTCTTGCGTGTTCTCCGTTTGCGCTTCTTTATGCGAGATCAAAAACTGACCGTTAGATCGTCGTTGGATGGACGAGGTTGGAGCTCGTACAGAAAAACTAGACTAGGTCGCTGCTTCGAAGCAGCAAAGATTACCGAAAATGCCCTTAGACGTCCGGCGGGACTTTTGAAAGCGAGGGGTCGTGTATCCATCGTACTTGATAGTGAACGGATCCGCTCTTAGGTCACCGGATATTTTGGCGGTTGTCGCATCACCGGATCCGCTCCGGGAATCCGTTAAGCGTTATATTGTACTGTGGGAGTGAATTAAAACTATAAACGACTTCGAAGTCACTTCGAATTTATTAATATGTTGAAATATGGCATCCATATTAAATCTATTAGCTTTTGAAGAAAAAAATGAGTTGAATATAATACAACACATTAAATTCATATTTTAGGAATTGGAAGAAGATAGTTAAGTACATCAAATTTTTTGAGATGATAGGACATAAAAATTTATTTTATCATATACAAATTTAGATATATACATTTGAATTGAAAATTATTAAAATTAAATTCAAGATTATTTAAATTCTACTTTTAACAAATATTATACTTTTACCAAATACATCGGAACTATAAGTTCATCAATTCTAGTCTAAATAAATCTAGAGCAAGCATTTGAAATAAAATTAAAATTTTATGATATTAATTGGATGATTAAATGTTCTTCAAATCTATAATAATTATAGTAAATTGAGCACTTTGATAAGATGAATCCAACGAGCATAAGATCACTTAATTTTGATATCATTAGCACACATAAATGTTGAAGTAATGATTTTAATTGAGGGAATTAATGAGGATTGTTCGATGAAGTGTTTTTATTTTCTTATATGTATAGGGAGGGCATCATGTCACTCTAAAAAATCTACAAATAAGCCTCTACTCCCTATTGGGGGATCCCTGAAGCTTGGACTTTGGTTTCAAATTCAAGAGAGCTAAAAAACTTTAAGGATCTCAGAGCTTCACTCGAGCACCATTGTTGGGCCGCACTTTGATCGTCGTCATCAGGCCATTGCTCGTTAGTTTATATCAAACCATCTTTGTACCACCATCGCTACACTACTGCCTACGTGTTATCATCAAAATATTGTCTGATAGCCACCAATGAAATCTAGCCACGACTCTTCGACCACCATCACTCAACTACGATCCTTTAACCCTTGTCACCCAATTACAGTTCATAAACTACTATCCCTCAGTAATGTCCCAATTACAGTTCATAAACTACTATCCCTCAGTAATGTTCTGATTATCACCATCATCTGATTATTATCCTCTGCCCTTCTTTGTATATTTATAGTCCTTCAACCGTCGTCGGACCATTATTATCTTTCAACCACCATCGCCCCATTATGATCCCCTAACCACTATCACTTTCCTATAGTCCAAGACTAAAGTCCCCCATCCATCATCACCAAAGTATATTCATTGTATTATTATCGCCCAATTAAGGTCCTATAGCCACTATCACTTGACTAAGATCCCCTAACCATTGTTAACTAACTACAATCCTCTGACTACCATCAATAAGATCCCTACTAATAGTCACTCAATTATAATCTTTTGACCGCCATTATCTAACTACAATCCTTCAATCATTATCAATTGACTACGATCAATAAACCACTGCTCCCCGATTACTATCTATAAATCACTATCACCACCACAATCTATTGACTATCATCATCAACTACAATCTGTCAATCATCATTTCTCATCTATAATCCTCTAACCATCATTGCCTAATATTAATCCTTGGACCATTATTGCTCGATTATGGTCTCTCGACCACCATTGCCCAAGCATAATCCTCCGACCATCCTCTTTCAACTATGATCCTCTTACCACCGTCAACTAACTAATCATCACTCAACTATGATCATCTGAGAACAAAAATTTAATAATGGCCCTTCAACCACTAATGCCTGATTAGGGTCTCTTAACCATCATTGCCCCACCATAATCCTCTAAATACCATTAGTTAACTAAGGTCTTCCAACCACCATCACCTTACTATAATCCTTCAGCATCTGAGGCTCTACTACAATCCTCCAACCATCATCACACAAATATGATCCTTTAGCCACATCACTCATTATGATCCTCATGCTACCAACACTCGATTATAATCTCCAAACCTACAATCATCTAACTATCATCATCTAGCTACATCAATGCATGTTATCTTCATTATTAATACCAACATATGTCATCACTTATAAGATTGATGAATTAAATCGATATCAACTTTGACTTCCATTGTCAGCACTAGATTTCTATTGGTTCGTAGTCTATAGTTTGTCCTCCTCCAAGGAGTATGACAAAATATAACTCTCTAACTTGCTTTCACGTTGAGCTAATAGATAGTTTTAGTTGTGAACAGGAATATGATTTTGATGATAGCAAATATTTCTGTTTCTCTATGACTGTCTTGCTTTCTAATATTTCAGGTCCACAAGATCAGACTATAATTTGAACCAGCTTAAGATTAGATAGACTAGGTCTGAATCAGTTTATATATTTTTCCTTTTTTGAGTCTATTATAAATAAAGTAGTTCTTAATGCTAAGTAACGTTGCAAACACACACTTGGGAGAATTTTTTTGACTATTTTTTAGAGTTCTCTATTTTTGCTCACATTGTCCGGAATGATCCAATTATCGTCCTGGACGATCAGAGAAAAATAGAAATCCTAATTAGGACATCCTGGTTAAAGCAGTCATCATTAAGCATATCGTCTTAGATGATATTTATATCGGCCGGGACGATATGCCCAAATTAGAAAGAATCAGCCGCCATATCTATTTAGGTATTATTTATTTTTAGACATCATCTAGGACATCGTCCTGGATGATGAAACATAATTATACTTAAATTAATCTGATAATTAAGGAAAGCAATTAAGGTTTGATTGCTCAATCATATCATTATGGATGATCACAGGATTGGCTGGGATGATTAGTTCAAAAAACCTTAGTTGTTCCTAGACGATCAACATCGGCCAGCTGCTATTCAGGGCAATGCTTTGGATAATTTTCTCAGATTTGAACTAATCATCTGGGATGATCGTGAGATTGGCTCGGATGATCAAGCTATTTTGTCATTGTCCTGTTATTTATCGAGGGTGATACGCTAGATGATATTCGATGATTTGAACTAATTATACAGGATGATATATTATCGGTCTGGATGATATGAATAATTTCTTTCTAATCGTCCAGACTTTCTTAAATCATCCTGATTGAATTGAGCTAATTATGTACTGATCGTACAAGACGATTGTCATGGACGATAAAGTCGATAAGTTGCAATTAATGAGTTATTTCGAAGCTCTTCTATTTATGAGCACTTATTCTATCCTTTAGAATATCTTTTGTTGTTGTTTTGACCTGAGAGAGCCAAGAGGAGAGGGAGAGAAAGGGGGAGAGAGAGAAAGAGAGAGGATCTTGTGAGGGGGAGTTTATGTGAGGGTTCACAAAGGTTGCTCCAAGCAAGGATATGTCGTTATCTTCTCCAGTCATCATCCTTAGTTCCTTTGAGGTTCTAGAGAGGTAAACTTCAGTATCTGATCAAGGTTCTCTGTCTACTTCAAGAGGAAGCAAAAGGAGTTGGGTTCTCTGTCTTCTACTGGAGGAAGCAAAAGGAGTTGGATTCTCTGCATCACCTGGGTTGGTGGAAAGGAGGTTTATAAAAGCTTCTCCTTCTTGTTGTGGGGGCATAAGGAGAGACACTGAATTTAGTGTAATACTCGGAGGGCACCTTCGGGGAGTGGATGTAGGTCATGTTGATCGAACCACTTTAAATTCCTGTGTTCTTTATTACTGCTTTCGCATTTAATTTCTACACTTTAAATTCTGTGATGAATCTTAGTTTTTGTTTTAATATTATGTTTTAATCGATTTTTTTTTTTTAAATACCAATTCACCCCCACCCCGTTTTGGTTAGCCTTGAGACTAGTTCATAAGAGTAACATTCCTAACGAACTTTCAAGTGGTATTAGAGCAAGGTTCATAAAATCTAGTTTTTGAAAACTTTTGAATTTTAATTGATGGCTAACTTTGGTAATCATAATATAATGGAAGGATATTATATTGTACGATCACTTTTATTTGATAATATTCATTTTAATTTTTGGAAAACTCGTATTTCTACGTTTTTACAATCGCTTGATTATCGTATGTGGATGCTTATTAAAAAATGTTATACACCACCTTCTCGTGAACTTAATGAAATTAAAACTGAAGTTCCTTTTATTAAATGGATATTTGATGAAAGAGATTTAGCACAACTTAATGCAAAATGCTTGAACTATTTTTTTCGTGCTTTCAAATATGAATATATATGCATGTTTCAACTTGTACAACTGATAAAAAAATTTGAGATAGATTGTGTGTAACTTATGAAGGAACCAATGAAGTTAAATAATCTAGGTTGAATATTTTGTTGCATTACTACAAACTTTTTAGTATGAAACCTTCTGAATCAATTTCTGACATGTATATAAGGTTTACTTAAATTATCACATCATTGAATACTTTAGGAAGAAAGCTAACTAATTATGAAAGAGTCAATAAAATTTTGAGATATTTGTCTTCTTCTTTTGATGCTAAGATCACTACAATTACTAAATCTTAAGATTTAAATACTTATTTTGTTGATAATTTACTTGGATCACTCATTGCTTACGAGCAAGAGGTGAATCAAAGAAATCTTGATATAGTTGAGA